TTTTTATACAACTTGATAGGTAATATACTAGTCCATTATTTCTTAAATACCATACAAATTCATAAATACCACACTTCATTTTAAAAGTATGTTTTATAAGAGTTGACAGAGTAAGATAATACACTAGTTCATTATTTTTTCTAATAATTTAGCATATGTAAGTACTTTTTTTGGACAGAGAATATAATTTTTTTTCTCTGTAAATTGGAGAAACAATAAGAAAAAACATACAAAATAAAATGCAATTATATGAGTACTAGGAATTTGATGAAATCACGTCACAAAACAAATACATCAAACAATTGTACTTCTTATGCCATAACTACAATTCCCTTTTAACTTATTCAAAGGTATGTGACCCATGACATTACTTTTAGTAATTCAATCATTCTTAGATTTACCTCAAAATCTGTACCACTAAAATAAGATATATTACAAAATGTTAATATCTAACCTAGAAATGAATTTTTACAGTTTGCCTTTCTTGAAATTACAGCCAGCCTATCAACAATCAATGACATTCTCCCATCATGTACAACTATTAACAGTATAACCAAATGAAACTTGCATAATGGTGCCATATTTCACGTTTCAATACTCTATGTTACAGTTTTATGTTGTAAATATATATAAGTTTAGATTACTCCTGAAAAATTCCACCAAAATTGATATTAGGTTCACTTAACCCTCTCTGTACAGGCCTGGTAATTTTGACCAACCTTACAACCATCTTGAAACCACAATAAATGTTGGTTTAATGTAGCAAGTGTATCTTCATGACATTTGGCAAGCTTTTACAAGTCTTTTATACAAAAACTGAAATTTCTTTAATTAATATTTATCTGTGAATTTATGATGCAGACTAGTATGAGTGCAAGGTGATTTTTCATGTTAAAATTAAACACTTTTTATTCTTACAGTTTTCACATTTCATTTGCTTAACCTCTAGAACCTCCTAAATGAATATCAAAAGTTCTTTTTCTGTAAAGCTTTATATTTTATCTACTCAAATACAACATGGATTCAATCCATTTTATTGACCTGGTAACTTCCACAAAAACAAAAAATATTTAAGTTACCCTATTTTCTATCTAGCATGACTGAAGATTATAATGGTAAATTGCAGTTATTTATCCTTAACAGCCTCAGGATCGTAACATCGTACATTTGTTTTTAACTAATTTTAATGTTTCATCACTATTTGAAACGTGACTAACTACTAAACCTGAGTAACAAAGCTATAATTCAGTTGCCAAGTGTATAGCTCAAGTTACAATAAACAAATTATTTAATTGCATAATGTACAAGCAGCTTACATGCTTACCTTACTGAAAATTATTTTAGTCTTATAAGTTTTTAATTTTAACTACTTTTATAACAATAAATAAAAAAGATACATTAAAAAAAAACAGGAATTTAGTACCTACGTGTGGATCTTATACGTTTTTGCAGTTGAAGTTTCAATAAAACTTAACCCTAATTTTTGCTATGGTTGTTGCTAGTACTTTACTGAATTTTTAAAAAAAATATTCAATACAAAACACAAAATAATAGTACACACAAAGAATACAATAAAATGTTGCTATAATGATTATAAATTTATCTGGCTTTCTACATAAGTTATAATGATTTTAAATAATGCTTTTGACTGCTCATGGTAACATGGCAATGGCAAATGAAATTGTAGGTGGAATGATCCAAAACTTGTCATCACAATGAGCTAACCTTATAAGGAGTTCAGCAAATTAAAATATGTTTTTTGTTTGTATTGATTATAACTACTGTAATAGCAAATGCCACATAGAGTTACTGACATTTTTTGAAAGACAGTATGTAATAGAAGGGGGGTTGCATGTAAGTATGACTTTCTAGTTTATATCTCAATAAAGATGACTGGAGACAATTAAATTAGGTTTTGTCTTAGTAATATCTGTACTATAGATTTGTAATTTGTATTAAAACTCAAAAAGGAGTGGAAATAATATCTAAAATGGACAATTTGGAGTGAAGAAGTGTCACATGGTACAGAGAAGAGATGATTCAGAATATATTCAAATATTTCCTTATGTAATTAAGGAATAAAAACTTAGATAATATGAAAATTTGAATGTAACTGTAAAAAGGCTGTGACATGCTCACTTCCATCTACTCATATCCACAAGGTTTAAATATGGATGAAAATCTTAAATAGCAAACAATTCTTGATATACAAGTCCAATTTTTCAAACGGTGGTATTCTTGCCTGCAGCTACAGTGCAACCAACTGTGCTGTAATAATCCCTTTTAACTATTACATAATTAATGTAAAACTGTTTAATTTTTGACAAAAGCCTTTTTTTGTATTATTTTAATCTGAAAAAAGTACCTTAAAACATTGGATAATTGTAGATATTCTTATTTATTTTGAAATTTACAAATGTTTTGACAAATTATTTTGCTCATTCTACTTTGTACAGATCTTTTCTTATTCTGATTTATACTAGCTTATGATAATATCAATTACCAGAAAGTATTATTGCTGTTATGTCAAAGGTATCAATCACATGATTTACATATCGTGAATAGTATTAACTTTCATATAACTTCAAATCACACTGTATGCATGCAAACTTCTATGTTTCAAAATCACAGCACAGTTTTTACTTAGATCTATGTACTGGTTCACATTGATGCACTTAGCATACTTTTTCGTTAATGAAAGAAGTAACATCTTCAAAACTAAAGCCACAAATTATTGTAAATTGTTGTGATACATAGTAACCTTTGGTAAAAATAAATCTAGAGAAATAATAGTAAGAAAGAGGTGATGATATATATATATATATATATATATTGTTTAATAATTCGTTTACAGCTTAAAGCTTCACTAGTTAACTCAGTTTTTATTGAAAGAAAAAAAATTGCTATGAGTAAATTATGTATCAAATTTAATTATAAGCTGAAAATGGCTATTACTAAGAACGATAACTGTAACAGAAACAATTTTGGCATATTAATCAAGAGATTTTATATTTTGATTAAATATCCATTATAATGGATAGATAACTTTACAAATTATCATCTCATATACCAATATCCATTGTACATAGTATAAATCAGATCAACAAGCTTGACTTTTATTAAACCGTATCTCTAACATCGAATCATTATCTTTATGTGCTCACCAATAATATTTCTTGTACTTTATTTGTTTACATTTTATTGTTTTAGAATTTTTACACACAGCCATCCCTATAATTTTGAACCAACATAGTCAACATTTCCCCACCATCAACTTTTGCACTACTTGTCTGAACAAATAATGGGATTTCACCAACGATCTTGCAGTGCATCCATACCTACAGTGTGTTCTATGTTTTTATAGCAACAGCCCATGAACAACAAACCTATGGATTTAAAGTGTGGGTACACTAACTATTAGGCCACATTCACTGTAATTCAAGTAATTAGAACTTAAGGTGAACATTAAAAGCAGTAAATACAAATTAAACATTGAATTTACAGTTAACATGCAAGTACCAAAAAAATTGATACATGTTAAAAACAAAACAAAAATCTTATGTCATGTGTTTAAGGTGAATGAGGATCACTTAAGTGAAGCTTAAAAGAGCATTATTATTATGGTTTCCATCAAATTTAACTATATTTCTTACTGATCAACCAATCATGTAAACCAACAGTTAAAGCACAGATCCTATGATACACTATAGAAAATTCAAGTAAGAGAAACTGGAAATATTTGATACAGTACCTAAGGGTACTGAGGTAACAATCTACTATAATAAATTTTCAAGACAGCCCAAGTTGTATTATTGTTACCTATTTTGTTCTGAATTATACATATACCAGTTGATCTTTTTAACTTCTATTATTTATGTACCAGCTTGTTATTCTTCCAATTAAAACCAGCTTTCTAATTTACATTCCTTCTCTTCTGAACTGCATAATTAGAATTATTCTTTATATGCCAACCACTAAATTTCCCCGTTGCTGTTAAATCTTAACTTCTTCCTAGTTGTATTCACGGTGCCTATATCATTTCATTTCTTGCACACATTTGCTAATTAATTTGGTTAATCTTTCTTTTAGTACAAGCACTTTTCGTGGTTAAACTGGTAGGAACCTCCACAACAGTTAAGCTCCCTTTTTAAGTCATACTCTTGTTTTATTATAAGGTAATAAACAAATTATTGACTGGTTATAAAGACAACAAATAATCTGTTGCCTGAAATCACCAGTCAATAACTCAAAATTTTAAAGTTTAACATTTCATTTTAAGAATCAATAAGATTTATCTGTATTACTATTATTATTGTAATTAAACAGTTCGTCTTGGTATATGCAATTTCAACCTGTAGGCCTATTTGTCTATATATGTCACCACTGGTAACATGGTTACAAAAAACAGACTATTTTCTAGATAATTACAGTATATATATATATGTATATATGAGAAATAATTAACTTAATTGAAGATTGGACCACAACCTATTCAATAAATCTATCACTGAATATCAGATCACAAAGAAGATTGTGCCTTTTATATACATATAAAATTTGCCTAAAATGCCAATGATATTTCAGATGTTGTTATCCACAGTCACCTTCTGAGCAGTGCAGTATTCCTCAAATACTTTTATAACTCCTTTGCTTATGCTTTTATTGTCCTTTTCTGCAACAAGACAATGCTGCTCTTCATCTGAAACTGAATTCTTATGTCATAATATATGTTCACATCTATTTTGCAGGTTTGAGCAAATTGTTGTAATTAGGCCTAAATTAATTAGTATATGTTCATTTGCAAAGATCTGCTGCAATGCCATGCATGTTTGGCAACAGCTCTAACAACTGAGCAACACTGATGCAATTTATTGCCTAGTTTTTCAAGACAACAATTAAAACGTTTCATATCATGTGATGTGCTCTTGGCCAATCATGGCAAAATAATTCATGCTACATGGGGACAGAATAATTATTTTTACAGTATACTCTTCTATTTATTTTTTTTAATTTGTGGTTTGTAGCCTATCAATTATGAAATTTGATGATTTTGACCTGTATTAAGCACTCCTATATTATTATCTTAAAAAACACAAAATACCAACTTTTGTTTTTTGTAAGTGGCATGTAAATTTTCACATCTTTAGGGATTAAAATAATTTTTTCAACCAAGATGTCATATTGTAAAAAATGACATAGAATATTGGAAAAATTGAAAAAAACAAAAAGCCAAGAGAAACATATATTTCAATCTGAGAATTTTAATAATGAGTGTTTTCAGTATTTACTTTTGTTTTTACTCCAACCAAAAAGAGTTTCTGAAGAAGAAAAAGAACAATAACAACAAAAGAAAAAGCAAGGAACTATTATTTGTAATGTTAATAAAAATTTTGGGCCCGAAAAGAGCAAGTGTGGTGAAATGTTGATGAAACTTAAGTCTTAAAAAACAGAAGACATTATTTAATTCCAAACATTTCATACAACAACAACAACCAAATAAGATACTATATTTTCAACACCCACACAATGAAATGCAATTTTGAATTCTACAGAATAAATACCATCATTCTATATGTTCCTAAAAATGTTTCATGATAATACTCACACTGTATTTTTTCTTTTGTATTATGTTAGTTTTCTTTTTAATGGTGTTTTGCTGCCACTACCAGCTATGAAAATGAAATAACTTGCCAAAATCTTGTAGTTGATGAGTCATCATATTTTCTAACAACTTTTATCAGTAAATGCATTTCAAGCTCAGTTACCTTTTTAATGTAAATGTAAAAAGTAATTACTTGTTGAAATAGTGAAATAGCTGCATTCTATGGATTTAGCAGAAATACAAGACTCAACAAATTAGCCAACAGGGTTTATAAGACACATCACATTAAACTACATCATATAACTGGTAATACACAATTAAGTACTAGTTTAAAAAAAAAAAAGCTTGTGTTATTACACTTCTAAAGATGAATCTTTCCTTTGAGAACAAATTTTCAGAACAAAATTATTCCCAACTGAAAAAATAAAAAGGATTAAAGTCTCACCAATTTACTGCTACTTGTTATCTTATTTTGATTACTTCCAGTTACGTTTGATGCTTTGTTTTAGGATCTCTCTAATTTTGGAAACATACATTTTTATATTATTAAAACTATCTTTATGTACATACACTGCATAACATTCAGAAGACCTTTACTGATGTAGAATAAACTTTTTAAACAATCAGACTGTATGCTAGTTGTTACTTTTACAATTGTTTGATTACATTGATCAATAATGTTTGGTCCATTTCCTCAAAAACAGACTGCTCTCACTTTTTTACAAATAATATATTTAGATGTTCTTTTCAAGTCTTACAACATCAGCTTTCTCACTTTTCATGTTTGTTGAAATGACAACTAAACCAGTGAACACAGAGAACTGCCTCGGTGATTGTCGGATACTGAGAACATTTTAGTTTGGTCACCTTATGAGACATGTAACACACAACCTAGAAGGTCCAATACAGTCATCATGGCAAAAGGCACCACACTTCTGGCACATCACCATTGCTTTTAGATTACAAGCACAGTTTCCTCTTGCTCCATTTGGATCACCAGGGGGCACTCCACTACCTGGAATTCCTCCTCCAATAACCATGCCTGTAGTCATGGTTACTGGAGTTAATGACAGGCCTGTATTTCTTCCTTCCTGACCTCCAGATGGTGCTGTAACACCATTTTTTGGGACTTGAGGTAGGACTACACCTGTAGACATTACAGACATTTGTGTCAGAGCTGGAACAAGAGATACATTTTGACTGGTCATCAAGCCTCTGCTCTCTGGCTGGGGAAGTGTACAAGAAACTAAGTTCTGGGAATCCAAAATCCCAGGTGCTGGAAGAGGTGTACTACATGTAAAAATGGACTTTCCAGAAGCTGCTGAGGAACTTATAGCTGAATGCGGATAAGGAAAGCTGTTAAGGATTATGTGGTTAGTCAGGACACCACCCGTGGTCATTCCGCTGGATTGGATATGATTAGCACTAACCACCACACCAGAATTATGGCAAGTCTTTGAAGTAATGGTCTTTCCAGAAACAACACCAACAGCATGAGAGTCTACACTAGTGGATATCTTAGTATCTTTCAATATGGATAAAGTTGGTGTAATACCATTGCTAGAAATAACAGAGCATGAACTAGGCTTGTTGGTTGAGGGTGAGACATTTGATGTCTGTTTTGGTAACAATTTTTCAACATTCCCAGTAAATGCAGAAGTTTCTGGTAAAGCAGAAACACTGGTTGTCTGAGCATCCTTCTCAATACTGATAGTTGTTTTATAATATTTTGTGTTTGATGGTTCATGAAGTTCTTTACAACTAGAACTCCTTTTTAATGAGTTCTCTCTCTGACTTTCGACCATAATGACGTTATTTTCTGGCACCTGGTTTAAAACTGGAGGTGCCGTGAAAGGTCTTACAGTCTCACTAGATGTTGCTGATGTTGAAAAATTGTGGATACTGTCAGTGCTTTGTGTCACTGAAATACAAGAAATGCTTCTCTTTTTGGTCTCACCTCTGTCAAAACAATCTGAATTTTTGAGTTCACTGATATTGCCTGCTACAAGGACAGGTTGGCATACTACTGGACAATCAGAAGGCTGACTAAAATCACTCTCTCTAAAGTTTAACTCAAACTCCTGTTCATGATCTGTTTCTCCAGGTACACTGTTCAACACATCCTGATCAGAAACTTCCTCATTATCAGTGATAATCAAGTACTCCTCTGGAAATTTTTCATCCCTTGTAATGCACTGTAAATACCAAAAGTGGCTTATTAAACCATTTTACAGATGAACTGATAAAGCATTTTTCATGCACTAGTTAGCTTTTATTGTAGTAGTACATTTTTGCCCAACTTGTATATATATACAATTTCTCAGTACAACAATAAAACTTCAAATCATTTTCTTTTTTACATTATTAATAAATATTTGGCAAAAGTTTATAGTATTATTCAATAAACTAATTTAGAAAGAAAGCCTTTAACTGTGTTTCATGTAAGCGGCTAATGTACTTAAAAACCATTCTAACATTTTTTCATATTTTTATACACTTCGAAGATTACACAATTTATACCTATACTTACATTTTTTATACTGGTCATGAAATATTTTCAAAAGAAATAATTTAACTGAAAGTTAATTCTGTGAAATGAAGTTACTTTATTACTTCAGCTAGAAGTATAGTTTTAAGGCCATACTGGGTAGCATTCTGCATACAAACTCAAATATCTTAAGTGCTGATTTATTTTATAACTACCTAAAAAAAGTATACTAGTATTAACAAACACAAAGATGAGTTTTAGGACAAACTTGAAACTAATTTTGTAAATAATTCAGCAACATTTTTAACATTACCATCAGGCTAATTTAACATGAAAAAAGCAGGAAAGACTTTCAACAGCTTTAGTAATTATATCCATAAAGTATTGGTTACTTTTAAACAAGCTTTGCATAATGAAAACCAATCACTATGCCTTTTAGGAATGTGTAAATGTATTCAATTGCTGAATACTTAAAATTCTGCAAATGTGACAAAATTTTGGATTAAAAGCTATTTCAGATATTACATACTAACAACAAAATGGCATTATATATTTTTGATAGATAACTCTTAAACAGATTTGTTGATAGTAGCACACAACAACAGTAAATGGAGTTTCAAACCACATTTTTCTAGACTAGTTAAGGTGAAGTTTAGAAAAGATCATGCAGAAAGCTTATTTCTCATAATTAGGTTATGCTGGGCTCAAGCTATTAAAAGAAAGCTGCAAAGAAGGCAAGTGTGTAGAATGTAAAATGTGGAAGACAATCTTTTTTCTGTTAAAAATATGAGCTGATACTGATTACAGTGGGATTCAGGTACTTAAGTTTTCTGTGAAACTGAGAAGTAACTTACATGGTATGGAAGCTGATTATGCACTCCATTAGCTGCTGTGACAACTATGCTTCCCCCATCGTTTACATTATTTACTTCCTCTTTATCTGTAGAAGTCCCTAAATCATTTATAAAGTCTAAATTAGAAGAGAGCAGAGCTGCACTGTTGGAGTCCACATCTCCAATAATCAGAAGAACTCTAGAATTTTTGGCATCACTTACTTTACAATCTCCATTTAGTAACCCTTCTATGGTACCATCTTCAGATGCTATAACAACTGTGGTTGAGTTTGAATTGTTGGCTGAATCAACAGCTAAGGAAATGTCATTGGTTAAAAGAATCAATTGTTCTGATGAAGAAGCAGCACTTGCATCAGCTGGGTCATCTACTAAAACAAAAGAGTTGTGTTCTTCCAGGCCTCCAATATCCACGGGAACTGTCACAACAGTTTCAGTGCCACTGGCAGGACTAAGAACAGTCTCCTGACCACTAGAAGATAGTATAATTGTGTCCACAGCTTGGGAAATGCTTCCTGAGCGAAGACTTACAACAGCTTCAGTAGGTGTCACCACTGTGCTAGAAGTCTGTGTTGTTCTGGAAGGTGCAGAGTTGTTGGGAGAAGGAGACAAGCTGACTGCATAAGCCTGAGTAGTTGAAGGTAGGCAAGTGGTTAGAAGTGAGGAACTCTGGGATGATGTTTTATTTGAGACATGGTGCACAGCAGTTTGTAGCAGAGGGGCTCCTCCCATCAGAGTACTTGGTGAAGAAGTATTAACCAGAGAGGTAACAGCAACACTGCTCACCCCAGAGGATGAAGATGTGATGGACGTCATAGTTGCTGGGCATGAAAGTGACCTGGTCTTCACTGGAGCCAGTCCTGGTCGAGCTTTAATTTGTCTGTTACCACTGCTGAAGAACTGTGATCGGTTACGACTCGACTCCAAAACTGCTTGACAGATTTGATAGGATCGTTCCAAATTGATAGGGCCATGTTCAGCACTATGCTTACTTGTAGGGGTACTACTGGCATGCCGGACAATGGGGACGGAACGAATTGTGATGGGGGGTACTAATGGTGTTGCACTATCCTGGAAACAAGGGAAACAATTACTGCTAACAAATTTTGAATTTAAGAAACCAGTGTTCTGTCACTATAACAAATATTAAGCATTACATTTCATTTAATCAAATTTATATTTACCAAATAAAATCCCACTTCAACTACTAAACTAAAAAAAATAATTTAAACTATTATATTGCTTTAAAAAATACCATTGGTATAAAAAAAGGAGTGTTTTTCTTTGTTTTACTAAAGGCAGGTAAACTGATTAGTACTCGACAATGTCTGATAAAATATAGTCAGTTCCAGCAAATGCAGTTAGCATAAATAAAAGAATTTCTCTTCAAGTTTCTATTAATACAGGTATTATGGTTAACCGTTACTTTTATGAAAAAGACAAAGCCTAGATTTTAATTTTTCTTCAATATTCTATCTCGGTAACCCTAACCAATGATGTCAGCTTTACTTTATGCAATACACTGTTTTAACTTGTAAGCAAAATGGAATGCTTTTATACATAAATATATTTGTTCTTAATGATCAGTGAAAACTATAGCTGATAAAAAGTATGTCAAATTCAACATTTAAAAGTAACCAAGCCTGATCTAAAACTTCCCAGTTTGCTCAAAAACAGTAATTCTGAATAGTAGATATTATATATTATTTTCTCATTGTTTTGTAGGTGTAAATTATTTGAAAGTTGGTAATTTTAATTTTTTTCTAAAATATATACTCTAATACAACTTTACATTACACGCAATAGATTTAATGAGACTCACATTTAACTTATCTCTTTCATCACACTTCTTTTAATTAGTCCATTATATATTTCTGAACAGCATTTTAAATCAATCATTTTGTGTAACAAGCCATTGCATAAGATGTCTTTTATTCAATAACAGAACTCATGGGCTCCAATTTGAAATCTCTAACAGACTGATTAAAAGGAATGTAATGAAAAATAGCAGCAGTCATATGAGATGTTCATAATTTTTATGAAGCCTAATAATTATCCTTGCTTTGCCACCTTACACCTTTTGACTTATTTCCAACTCATTTTGAACTTTACAAATAATGAAATGGCATCAAACTTTGTCCAAATATGTCTGTATTTTTTCTGATAATAACTTTTAATACTTCTTTTTAAGTGCTGAAACATAGCTGGAATGTATTTTTTAAAGTACCTGAAATGTTGGTAAACAGGATAGTTTGATGAACCAGTAAGTGAAATAACTTGCAAGTCTGAAATTTGCTTGAAATTTTATATATAAACTGATTTTATTATCCAGTGAGAAAATGAGAAACTAGATGAATCTTTAAAATTCCAATCACAATCTTTTGTTTCTGTTTTTAGAAAGATTAAGCAAAACAAGTTATTTTTGTGCATGCTATAAGCATTAGGCAACTAGTTTAAACATGTTAGTTCAATAATACTTCATAAGCTGAAAAAACAAAACGAAAAAACCTTAAGATAGTCTTTACCTTGAACCACATATACATACACACACTTACCCCTGAAGTAGTTCCCAAGTTGAACCTGGGGCTGTGAGAGAGGCTCATTACAGGAGCTTGTTGTTGATGCACCTGCAATGCATGAAAACTTTACAATAAATGGAAGAGACCAAGTTCATAGCTTGTTAAATTAAATGATATGCATTTATGCAAGTTTAAAAAATTAACTTGTTTTCCACATGCATAGATAGAATACATTTTTTTTCATATCTAAATGCACATTTCTTAAAACATTGCAAGATATTTTTTCTATTTAATTGTTCTATAAGCCAATAAACACCTAATTTTTACAGTACTTGCCAAAAATATAGTTTTCCTAAATCATCCATCACACTTAGCTATAATCATTAACAAAATCTAACAACCTTATTTTCATAAATTAAAAGAAAAAAATAACTAAAAGATTATTTAAATTACAGATTTAACAGCTTTTTTGTGTGCATTACTATGTTCCTGATAGTTAATCTTAGTACTAAAACCTCAACACTCTGCATGGCAATGATAAATGCTTATATGCAAATAATCTTGATTTAAAATTTCAACAACAAACTTTAAATATTACACTTTTAAGTTTAAAGAGTATATTTGTTTTAACTCTGTATAATCTAGTTATTCAGGTATGTATATACCAATACAATGAGAAACTAAAAGTTGAGCCTTGTTTTTCAGTTGGCTGTAATTCCAGTCTGATCATTATTAACTTGTCTTTTGAAATATTTTACTAGTTATAAAAGCCTGTGAGAAAGACTTTTGTTGTTAAGTGCATTAACCCTTTTGCGGCAGATTCGTGCAATTTGCAGAAATCGAGTTGCATATTTCACTTATACAACAATACATGCAGTAACTCTGGTAAGATTTTGTTAAAGATCATAAGTATCTTGTACACAAATAATGATGATTTTATAATTTAGTGTTTTTACTAAAAATATGTGATTTTTCTGTTGTAGTCACTTGCATTCAAACTATTAATAAATCAAGTGCAAGATGATTTTCATATTTCATTTGCATAATCTCTAGAACCTCCTAAAAGGATATCATAAGTTTTTTAAAGTAAATGTTTATATTCTATTTTTCATTTGCTTTACTATATCATTAACTCTTGCTATTATCATCAATGAAATGATTAAAGTTAGGAAAAAACAAAACAAAATATCTTTGATTTTTTTATAGAATATCTTTAAGGATGTTGTTTTGCTCATATTCGTAATTTCGATCTATCCTTTTCACATATAGTTAATTTTTAATGTTTTATTTTCCATTCTTGTCCTTTACCACTTATTATTCATATCAACACAAGTCAATGGTGCCCTCGAGGCGTATCACAGTTTCTTTGGGAGACATGCATAACCCTTTGGCAAAATTTTCGTTCAGTGTAATAGTGTAAGTTTTGAGAATGGACGCAAACTATGATATATATTTAAACAATGTTTAAACCTTCTAATTATGCATTTCAAAACATAACTAATATGTAATTAACTAAAATATAACAGTAAGATCTAAATACAATTTAAACTGTATCTTTAACTACAACATATTTAGGTAAGAAGCAACAATAAGTGTTACAGTTGATCAAACAGCCAACCATACTATAGCCAATTTCACATACTCTGTGATGACAACCTCGTGCCAACTTCAAAATAACCATTGTTAGTTTATACTGCAAAATGATCTCTTTATAATGGTTATATAAATGTGTAGGTAATGTCTACATGAAGACTATAAAGCTCAAAAAATTTGTTTAAGGTGGGTATGGCAGCTGTCAAGGGTTGAAAAAATGTATTACTTGTTCCAACTGTGTTAAATTCAGAGAACTTTGAAATGAAAGTGTCAAAATGTCATCTAAGCATTTCATTGTCTTGACATACCTCTACAGTACAGCTGTTGTATTATTGAAGATAAAGTGTCAGAGTAGAGAATTTTCATAGCTTATTGGTCACGTGACAATACATCTGAAGTTTCAAGAAGTTTTTAAAGATTTATTTTGAAATAAAGTACTTAAAACTTGGCTAAAATAAAACTTTGAATCATAACACACATTATAATATTAAATTCATTCATATACATTGATATTAAAGGTGTTTAATTTTGAATGTAACACAGTGACTTGCTCAGAAAAGCAATTAAAGGGGCTCCAGTTGTGAAAGGGTTAAGTTGTGGTTAGTTTGGAAGTGGTTTATTACGAAATTAAGTCAACAATAAAAGGAGACTGTCAAAATTACAATTATATTTCAATCAAAAATTAACAGACAAGGTTGATGTGTTTATAGCATTATAAAGTGTTAGCATCCTCTTCCAAAACTACCAATGAATTTATTTTTGCCTATAAAATATGATTATCAAGATATCTTTTATCATAGTGACAAAAACAGGTTTTAGAAGGAACATATTTAAAGGACAATAATCTTTTAATGCTGTAAACAAAACTATCCATGTATTGTCATAGCTCACCCTCACTAAAGTGAATAAAATTACACATTAGCATCTTCTGATTTTTCTGAACATTAACAAATGTCTATACATGTGATATAAAGTCTCCTTTCTCTTTACTTATCACAACTAGATAAAATTAAAGGTATATCAAAAATATACCCTAGTTATTTCTCCAATAAACATAAACACCAGATGTAGTAATGAGGAAAAAAAAAGTTTACAACATCATGCTATTGCACCAAAGTAAAGTATTTCTAATTTATTACATATCTCACATCTCAAAGCACTATGCCTCATTCTCATAATGAATGAAAAGCTTCAAACATATATAAAGTAATTAAAAATAGGTAAGAGTACACTTTAATCATCTTTCCATCTGAGAGTAGTTCGTTTGTTCAAACTAAATTACAACAAGACTTACAGATTGAGAATTTGGTTCTGTATTCTGACTACATGGAGATGTGGTGAGGAAGACAGACTGATATGCAGAGGATTCTTCACATGGAACTGTGACAACTGGAACAACTAATCAAAATCATCACCACATATTTAATACAATGTAATAGAAAACTTTTAAGATATAAAAGATCACATTCTGCATTCAAACTTAATTTATAAAAATAATTACAATTGCTTTTAAAGTCATAGCTATTTCATGAGATGAAATCACAAAATATATCAGTTTACATAACTAAAGTTTATCCACTGACTTTTTAGGACAAACCTACAATACTCTTAATTGTAAAGATCATTACATAAGTCATGACATACATCAAAATAACTTCCATGAAAATTGGATTTAATACATTACAAACTTTTTCAATGCTTAACCCTATCAGAACAGGCACCTGTATTTTACCTTGTAACCACCATGTAACTATGGTGGTATACCTATTACAGCTCTGAAAGTAGTTATTGTATCTTCATGAAATTTGGCAAGCTTTAAGTAAACTTTAAAAGTATTTCGTAAACATTAAAAATCAGGTATTTTCACTATAACTTTCTGTTTAAATATATGGTAACTGAATGTTGACTGCTCTGAGTGCAAAGTGATTTTCATACTAAGAATACTTTTCTTCCATTTGAAAATTTTCAAATTTGATTTGCATAATCTCTAAAACCTCCTAAATAAATATCAAATGTTTTTTTCAGAAAACATTTATATTTTATCTGTTATTTTCTCTACCCTAATTCTGTACAAGGTTGCTCAATTTGACTGGCCTTGTAACCACTAAAAACAACAAAAAAATTTAAATAAATCTAACTTCCCTTTTTTCTTTCTAGAATGACTTCAAACTAACATGAAACTTGATGTTTATCCTAAATACTTAAATATCATGACAGTATACATCTGTTTATATTTAAATGTTATTGTTTTACTGCCACATGAACTCTGTCTAAACTAATATTCCCGCCATAAAATTTGAGATTACTTGGCGAACAAGCAGCTCATGTTACCCTATCAAATTACAAAACACACGGGCTACTGCTTGTGAGTGTATCTTGTGAAAATATTTTTACTATTATTCTTTATTTTACCTAATATAACTTAAAAAATTTCTAATTTTTACATTTTAGTTATTTTTTATAACAATAAATAATGAATGCACATGAATAACAAGCTGTCAACTGTCAATGACACTTAACCCTACTTTTTATACTAATAGTAAGTATTATAAGTCTTTCACATACAAAAATCAGAAGTATTTTTAAAAAACTAAAAAAAAAAAGATGTTCGGGAATATATCATTTTTTTTACTAGTCCGAGTATAAAGTGATTTTCATGTTAAGATTAAAAGTTTTTAATCTCAAATTTCACTTGCATAATCTCTAAAACCTCCTAAATACATTTCAAATGTTTGTTTTCAGTAAAACTTTATATTTTATCTGTTATTTTCCCTACCCTAACTCTATACAAGGTTGTTCAATTTCACTGACCTCATAACCACCAAAAAACAAATTAAATAAATCCAAATTATTTTTTTTTCTTTCTAAAATTACTTCAAATTATAGCATAAAACCACATTCATTTATTCCAAGTAGCTTTAAACTCGTAACAGTATACATCTATTTATAATTAAATGTTATTGTTTTATTGCCCCCTGAACCGTGTCTAACTACTATTTGTTGTAAATCACTTGGGAACATGGAGCTCACATTATACTATTGAATTACATTACCCATGAGCTACTTCCAGCTGCTCGCATGCATGCCCCGTGAAACATTTTTATCATATTATTATTTATTTTACCAAATCTAACTCTAACTAACCTAAAGAAATTTTTATTTTTAAATTTCAGCTATTTTTATAATAATAAATAAAGAATAAACATGAAAAACAAGAAATAAAGTGCCTACCCAGGCTTTTTTTTTGCTGTCAACGATACTTAACCTTACTTTTTTGATACTACTAATAATAATGCACTAAATAATTTTAATTTAATTAAATAATGCACTAAAGAACATAGAATAATAACAAGCAATAATCAGACAATGTCCCATGACAATAACAATTTTTCTGGCTTCCTAACTATGTGACAAGAACCATTACAAATTCATCCAAGCTAGTCGATATGTTTCCAGTGGGAACGAAGCTTGTACTAAAAGAGAAATTAATAATTCTCTGTTCAGAAAACAATGTAGTATAATACATCATTTAATAGATGAAGTGTGAAGTTTGACAATTGAGTGTGGCAAGAGGGGTCTGATTTTCTATTTTATAGCTATGTAACCAAACAAGAATAAAGGCTATAAAAATTATGGTTTGTCTGTGCAATGACCATTTTATGAGTAATATACGTACAATTTCGTACTTACTGAAGGGGTGGTGAATAAATTACTGAGGGGATGCCTCGAGGAAATTCAAAATTTTTTAAAATATCGCCTTATAAAATTAAGAACTTAAAACTAATATACTATGAAAATATGGATTATCAGCTACGATTTTATGCTATACTAGTGGTATAAAATAAGCAAAAAGTAGTTTAATTAAATTTTTAATGTAAGTCACTAAAAACCTTGTGACACGCGCAGTAAAGGATTCTTGTCCAGAGAGGGTTAAACAAGGAGTACTCATTAGAAAAAAGACACTCACTGTAACCACACAATAACAAAAAAAAACAACTCTTCGTGAAACAATGGTTGGCATAATTAGCTAGAGAATTTAGAATGCTCATTCACTCTGAGTTGAAGAGATTAGTTTTATGATAATATAAAAACTGAAGAAATGTTGCAGATGATACAGTTCCAATGCTGTTAAAACAATATTTATTACAGTTCAAGTATTTTTAGGAAGTCAAAATGAACCCAGTGATATAAGTTTAAAATGTTTATTTTCCTACACTGAAAATATATTTGCAATAGATACTTGCATCCACTCTCATAATAACTTTTATCATTCAGTGCTGCCCTCTATGTGCATAAACATTTTTGCTTGCCACCAACATTGAAACTCTCACCTATCCCATGTTTCTACATGGTTCAGCTGCAAATAAGAATGTGACAACTCTACACCAATAGGAGCATGACACACATACTCCTATCACAGCTAGCTCACTCTATACCATAGAACCCAGTCTTCACTTCGAGATTAGGCACTGACGTAGTGGAGGGACTGGGGCAAATTTACCTAGATAAGCACACTTCAGAAAGCATCCAAAGAGTGTCCATTAAGTATGACTTCTGTCATTAGAGGAACATACTCGTGGGAGACCATACCACACCTGAATGAGGTACACTCTTTGCCCTTGATGAGTGAATGCGTCGCTAAATGGGCAAGAAAGAGGCACATACGAAATTTAGCTGTACATGCCCCAGGTAGATAAGGCACGTCAGACTGTCGACGGAAGGTCAACTTCAGTCCAAAACCAGTGGAACTGAGAATAGATCATCCCATCCATGGTAGGAAAAGGGTACTCAACCATCTTTATCCGGACTGTAAATGGGAGGTCAACTGCAGTCCAAAACCAGTGGATCTGGAAATAGGTCATCCAGTCCACAGTAGGAGGAGGGTCCTTGACCAGCGACAGCAAGAGATGCTCATGGTATATAGTGGGTAGGACGTGTCACACCATAACTGGAAGGTCAACTCTAGCCTAAAACCAGCAGTACTGGATATGGATCATCCGATCCACAGTAGGAGGAGGGTCCTCCACCATTCACCTCAGACTCAGGAATCAAAAGGGAAAAAATACTTCTATTAAGAGAAACCAAGCTATCATGTGTACAAATCCAAAATGACCAACAAGTGTACCCACCAGGAACTGACATCTGGATGAAGGTAGGAAGTTGGAAATGCAATGTGGAGGGTTAACTCCCATCCAAAACCATGTGGTGTTGGGAATGTATCAACCAGTCTGCAGTAGTAGGAGAGTTCCAGCCCACTCACATGCAAGGACTTATGTTGACTGGTCTGGTTCCAACCAATACCAGTTGACCAGAAACCGATATCCAGGCAATGGAAGTAAGGAGGGTTCCCAGCCAGGGAGGTGAATTGCATGTGACAGAAAAATCCAGTCCAAAACCATATGGCATTTGGAATTGTACATCACGTCCACAGTAGGAGGATAGTCATGCCATCTATACTGACAGAACACCACTGCCCTACTCTCAACTGAGTGGGATTGAGCACACTCAAGAGGAAGCTTCCATGATTCCCCACCCCTGTGGATAGAAACTGGTAAGTGGTAAGGATTACTATACTCCACTGGAAGAAGGGGAGGAATATAATGCATTGAAGAGTCCAGAGAAATGCAGTACTGGAGAAAGTGCAATGGAAACTTCAAAACCCTGTTCTGAAAAGCAGACTGTTCCTGATTTATGCAATCGAAGGAACAGCAGGGATGGGTAGCAACCTCCTTCTACTTTACTCTTACTAGTCCATGAGTGTACAGTCTAGAACAGACATATTTATGACACAAAACACTGGAGGAACTACCTACTAGCAGTCTTGTAGAACTCTCCATCTCAATGACAGACATTATTAACCTTATTGGCCTTACAATGCAGATTTGAGAACAAGTATACCTAGACAGGTATCACTCTCCAATATAGAAGAGGGGTGTGACAGTGTAAGAAAAAAAAAAAAAGAAGAATTAATAAACATACCAACTCACAATAAAACTGAGGTGGTTAGTATAGCTACAGGTATAATGAGATATTTGGATGTGGATGAAACAGCCACCCGAAAGGGTTAGTGAGAGATGAATGTATTGAGTGAAGTCCACCTAACAGCCTGGATTATTTCTCCCAAATGATAATGTAGATGGGTAGCCAGGGAAAGGTAAGATGTCTAATCTGATGTGATGACCTGTAAAACAAACTGTAGGAACAAATAGCATAGGGAATAGGTTCGAATGGGTTTTGGGTAAAGGCATAGACAACAACTGTAAGGAGTAGAGGATGACGAGGGTGAAGAATCAGGAACGAACTCCAAGAAAAAAAACTATCCATATTGACTCAATCTTGCCCAGATTCACCAGACAAAGAAATGCCAGACCTGGGCTTGGAAGAAACAGCCAACAGTATGATGAACCCCAAGTACCATTGAAACACTTTGACTACCACATTCGAATGTGTAAGGCCTGTAGCCTGAGGCACAGCAGGTTAAAATGGCAGTGAAATAAAATTCAGAACTCATGTTAAACTGGAGTGAAGTTTGAAATAAATAAATGAGAGTGAGATTATCATTGTACAAATTTTTTTGAAAAATAACTACATTGTTTAATAGCAAGAAAAACAATAAATGTAAATTAAAATAAAAACACAAGTGAAAAATTAACACATTTTAACACTACTGTACAAAAACAAGAAGTGAAAATTTGGTTCTACAATATAGAGGGAGCCAGCTACAACAAGAGTGTGTGTCACACTCTCATTGGTGGATAATTGTCACATGCTTATTTGCATACTACAATGCAGCAGAACCATGTAGCAACATGGGGTAGGTGGGAGTTTTAAGGCTAGTAGCAAGCAAGCTAATTTGTGCATATAGAGGGTAATACTGAATGAGAAAAGCAAAGATATTGTGTTGGATTTACATAAACTCATACACATCGTTCATTTCATTAGTTAAATGATTTCATAATAACTGAAAACACTCTTTTACACACATGATTAAAGAGGGTTAATGGCATTTGATGGGAACAATCAAGACATATGCTAATACAGTGACAAATGACTGGAATTGTGAACAGTGGTGTCAGGTATGATTTGTTTATTCAACAAATTCCCAACCATTCAATATTGCAATGATGTACCATAGGTAGATTTATTGCTAGAGGAATAAATGCCACAACCCATTCTAAGTAAGGATCTTCATATTACAAAATTGTTATATAAAGCATAATGAAGTATTCAACATTTTTCATGGAAGTAAAATAACTGGTCTAACAATGTGTTTAGAACAGTAATAGACTTTAAAATAATGTCCCAAGCTAATTTGGAGCAACATGAAAATTATGGTAAAAAATTACAAACCTTTGATCCCAACAGCCACTGTAACAAAGATAGGCAATATATTCTGGTAATGTTTACATGTTAATAAACAAAGATTTAAAGTTGATGAATGCACACAAGCTTTCAACCACACCTCAAAATCCAGAGTTTTCATAAGAAAGATAGAAAAATAAGGTGAATTCACAGCAATCCCATTCAAACACATGTCAAGCCCCACAATTCAGTTCCAAGGAACTTTTGTGCCTTTGGACAGTTTAAACGTGGTCTTGGAATTTGATATTCATGTACAGTGGAAAATTTGTCAATATGTATGGTCAAAGATTGACCTCACTCACCATTTTTTTGCAGAAGCTTGTTATAATGAAAAGTGTGGTGTCAAACAAAAGTGCATAATCATGTCCATCAGATTCAGCATAATTGCCAGTGGAGAAAGTAGTTCCAAAACTAGCATGGGATTAATAAAGCATAATCAACCTTCACTGTTTCCCTCCTACATAATTGCAAGTATCCATATTATAAAAAATTATTGACCTTCATTACTTTTCCTCCTATATAGCTGCAACTACTCACCTGATGGTTTTGGGGCAATTGGAAGGATACTAGTTTTCTGTTTTTTGATCAAGGAGGCTTCTGGGTCAGCAACCACCTTTGATGGTCTTTTGAGAGGTGAAGGTATATTGGCCACTTCCTTTGGAGATGTCACTTTGTTCTAAACATCAATTTTATCTCTATATTTTTGATAATTATACTTTTTAAAGCAGTTAAATTTACAACTGAGCAATACACTAATATGAATCAAAAGATCAAACTAAAAATCATGCTGATAATAAATATAGCTAATTCTTACTCATAAAGATTAGAATGCATTATTTCATTAACTGAATATCTTGTATTAATGATATATTCAGTTGTAAACCCAATAATAATACTTCACAAAGTTTGGCTAGCTTAGGAGATTTAGGTTAATTTTAAATCCATATACTATCTAACAATGCAAAACAATATCTATAATAAAAGTGTAATAATAGAAAATAAAATATAATAAACATTCCAACTAATAATGTGATCATTTTGCATACATTTCTTAATATTTTATATAATGTACATATATATATACATATAACAAATTATCCAACTTGTAGTAAGCTCCAAATCTAGTATTAAGTAAACAAACAATAACTTGGGTATTTATAAAAGTGTAAAACATTTAATACTGAAACTACAAAACACTGAAAAATGAAAAGCTTTATATATTTTAGGAAATTATTAAATAGCATGAAAACATATTTTGTTACTATTATACATAGCTATAGGTTGGTATTAAGTTCCTTCCCAGTTAAAATAAGTTTAGTATTCTGACCAATCAAAGAACTGAAAATTCAAAAGTTAAGTAAAACTTTTAAGCTATTATGTTTCTAAAGAGTTTAGTTGGAAAAGATTCATACGATAATACTTTAATTAATGATAATGATACATTGTATGATAAAGGTGGCCTTGATACATAACAAATATAAAAACAAATTACATTTAAACTTCAGTTGTTTTATGCATATTGTATGTGTGTACTAGCATTGAAATAAAAAGCAAAACAAAAACATAAATATACATTTAAAAAAAAATTCAATTTATCTTTTGAATTATTACCACCATAAAAATATTTTACTATAATGAAGAGCAGCACATCAAACTTTTCTTTCTTAAAACTGAATAAATTACTTTGTTGAAAACAGATAAGTGAGTACTGAAGTCTTCTAAACATAAACATGCATTGTTACTGGTGAAAATGTACTGCAAACTGTTGTCATAAAGTAGCTTGTATGAGTAATAAAAGCTCAACAACAGTTTGTTGGTTTTTTAGGGTGGATTTCTTTTTCTGACTTAAGAGTCTCCTTTTAATTTTTAACAGCATCTGTTACTAGAGAAAATTGATCAATAACATTACTTGTTAAGTTTGAAGAAACAAAATGTTACTAAAGAGAGCCAATAATGATATTAGTCTAGTAGTTCTCATGCAGATTCTCTGTATCAGGTACCAAAAATGTATGAACTTAATTGTCCTATTCAACCTATCATTTCTAAAATATAATTTTTTAACCATAATTTCTCTAAATTTTTAAATTATTTCTTAACTGATTTTTTTGTAACAGCTACATCCTAAAACAGTTTCCAATTTTCTGAGAAAATGACTGATATTAGATTTGATGGTGTTTTTATAGAGAGCCTAGATATTTAGGTTATACCGATTTGAGTTTGATTTAATATCTGGTAAAAAATCATATTGTAAAAGGTTTAAACAAACATATAAAAGATTGATAGAATTTACTACTAAAGAAACATTCTTTTAATTTAATGGTGACTTGTACAAGAAAGCAGACGGCATTAACATGAGTTCAAGCCTAGCTCTAACATGGATAACATGATTAAGTGCTTTCATGGTAAAATTTCATTAAGTGATTGTCCTCCAGAATTTCAACCACTTGTTTACAAAGATGACATCTCTGTAGTATTCAAACAAGAAAAATAACTGGTGCAGTGTTCCGCCTATAGAAACAGTAATTATGCAAACAATAACTTTATTTGTGAGAACCAACAAAACTCTGCATTACCTTTTCTGGACACCTCAGTGTATAACAAGTAAGAAAGTTTGACATCAGAACTTATAACAAACTTACCTACAATGGGCTATACTCTCACTTTGAGAGCTTTGTACCACATCATTTTAAAGAAAATTCACTGAAATGTTTCCTAAGTTGTGTTCATAGGATTATCAACACATCAGAGCTTACCTTTAAAGAACTTAATAAATTGAAATCAGTGTTGAATAGCTGTTTTTTTTTTCCAAAATGATTTGTTGAACTCACTTTTAAAAAATGTGAAACACCTTTCTAGTCCTACAGTTATGAATTTCAATGTTCTTAAAATGCAAGTGTTTAAAGCTCTTCTGTATACTGGTACTCACTCTATTCAGATAAAGAAGAAATTGAACACAGCAACAAGAACTTAACACAAAACAAGATACAATGCGTGTTTAAATTTTATGTGAGACTTCAAAATCTATTCCCAGTTAAAGATAGGATTAATCTTCACGCAGAAGTTCTTGTGTAGTTTATGAAGTTCATTGCTTGATGTGTGAAGGAGCTTACACCAGTTCAACAAAAAGAAGACTAAGGGAGAGGATGAAAGAACATGATAATATCAAAATTCACAACAATTCAAGTTATCTTCAACAAGCTCAAGAACTGTGACATTCTAAAAATATGTTTAAGATCATTGGAAGTGCAAAGAATTAAAGAGATATTTCTAATTTGAAAACAGAAACCCACTCTGAACAACCATCAAATTGTTACTGAGCTTTTATTAGTCACATATAGTACTGTATGTTACATTTTCATGCTAATGTTAGTCAAAAAGACCTGAATGTATACTGCAGTGTACACATTTATGGCATGTTCCTTGTAATGACAATACATTATGTTATTTCAAAAGTATTACTGCCTCTTACCTGAAGAGGGTTTCCCAGACCACTGGAGATGATAGTTCCTTGTGGTCGGTGCTTTAAGATGGCAGGCACAAGTCGGTTCTTCTTCACTACTGGTTTGATTTTAATTGTAGGAACATGTTTAGTTGGGGTGTTCAGAGATGACTTTAGTGAAGAAGTTCCCATCCGAAAAGAAGAAGTTTTTCCTTGGTCACTAATGTCAACAATACTTCTAAAGATTGAAAATAAAAATGGGTTTAATATAATAAAGTTAACATTTTTTCTAAACTGAAAATGTATTTTCAAATAGATACTTACCTCCACTCACAAAAAGCTTTCTTTATTAGTATTGCCCTCTATTGGTGCTAATTGTTTCACTCACCACTAGCCTTGTAATTCCCACTTATTTCTGCATATCTACCCTCCAATAATAGGAGTGACATTACCCCTATCATAACTAGTCCTCTCTAATAATGCACCTGTTAATCACTTAGAGACTGGCAATGACAAAGTCAACCAATACACCAGAAGTGGGGAGGATGGATGGGAGATGTGAGTGGACATCCTTTAGGAAGTACCTAAAGAAAGACCATGTGGTGTAGAAAAGGAATAGGAAACATCACACCAGTGGGAGACCGCACCACTTCCAAGCCAGGTGTACCCTTCACCCTCAAGTAAAGTGTTGCTAAAACGAAAGGGTGGAAACATGGATGGATCCCAAAATGTTTTCATCACTTATGGGACCCTTAGGTGTTGAGTGGCTAGGGTGCAACAGACTGTAAATAGGAGTTTGATGTAAACCAACAACTGGCAACATCTGAAATTGTACATCAGGTCCGCAGTAGAAAGAAGGTCCTCTACTTTTCACCTCAAAAATGGATAATCAGAGGGAAGATGAGCTTACATACTAAAAACCCATCTCTGTATGTGTGCATCTCCAACACAACCAACATCAGATCCACTGGGAACCAACATCCAGCAGATGGTAGGAAGTAAGGAGAGCTCAGGAGGCATTCATCTCCATTACAAAACATGGTGGCATTGGGAATATCTCGTCTAGCCCTTGGTAGGAAAAGGGAACCCAGCCTTACAGTTGCAAGATTTCATGTGTTTTGTCCAGCTTGAAATAACACCAGAGCCACCAGGAATTGACATCCAGGAGACAGTAGGAAGATAAAGAGGGACCCAAATGTAGGGTTGCATCTTCAGTTCAAAACCTGGCAACCCTGGAAATTTATCATCCAGTCCACAGTAGGAGGAGGGTACCAGCAAAACATACATGAGGACGTACGTGACTGGATCATTTCCAACCAACACCTGACCCAGCTGGGAACCAATATCCAGAGGATGGTAGGAAGGAGGAATATCTCAGCTGAAGGGGCAAACTGCAATACATAGATATATGGCAGAGTGCTAAAACTAAAACCTGTTGGCATCAGGTCCGTGATATAAAGGGTGCCATGTCATCAACACCAACAGAATGCCACCACCCTACTCTCAACTGAGTGGAATTGTGCTTTGCTTGCCCCAAGGTTCACCACCCCAGCAGCTAGAAACTGGTAAGTGGCAAAGACTCTCACACTCCATGAGAAGGGGACAAAATGCAATGGAGAGTCTGGAGGATTGCAGCACCAGAGACAGTGCAGTGGGTGACTGTGATACCCTATCTTGAAAAGCAGAGCTACTATGTGGACAGAGTTGATCAACCAATACCTGGCAGCATCTGGAATTGTACATCAGGTTTGTGGTAGGAAGAGACTCAATGCCATGGAACATCAGAGATGGGCAGTATGTCCATGAATGTACGATATTGGACGTACATTCTTATGAAGCAAAAGACCACTAGAAATATCTACGATTGGTCCTACGGAACACTCCATCTCAATGGTATGCAAAATATGATCCTGTGACGTGTTATACTGTTTCAAGTATAATATGTGATATTGACGCATAGACGACAATCGGATAGAGTCAAACAACCAACATCTGAAAAACAAATGTAGTAGCTCACATATCTGCACCGATGATGTCCTCTCAGGGAAAACAAAAAAAGAGCAGCCATGACATGGTAAGGTGACAGATCCAACAGGAAAAAACATGAAAAACATCCAGAGAAAAGGAAGAATATGTCAGACAAAATGACTGGCAAATCCAACCCACAAGGGGAGTGTAGTAAAAAAAATCATGGGAAAGGGTGGGATTCTAAAGAAGAAACAAACTGACCCATGAACTACTAAAGAACATACTGCATGTGTCAGAAATCCAAAGGCCCTGACCAGGTAAAGGAATTGGACAGGAGTGGAATGGAACTAAATGTGGAGAAGGGAATGGAAACATCATTAATCTCTAGAGTAGCCCAAAATTAAGTGAATAAAGGGAAGGACAGAAACAAAACCTGATCACAAAACACGTTGGAAAAATGGTGACCACAGGCCAATTATATGAGGAACAGGGACAGCAAGTAAAATAAATTTATGGATCTGCTCACAAAGGTTAGAATGGAAGATTATGAAAGGAGAGAAGCCGAGTGGAGAGTAATGAAGTAACATAGCCAGAAAATGAGATAGTAACATTGAAGCAAAACCAGTAAACCAAAATTTAAAGATAAAACCTACCTAAAAGCCAGCAACAGGGTAAACAGATATGTCCCTGTTAGAAGGTTATGAGAAATGGGAGTAATGAAAGGATGATAACCTAGGTGTATAGATCAACAGTGTGATGCATATCAACAACTCCAGGAAACCAACAAAGAGGAAGGACAAACTGGATGGGAAAAACCAAGGAAGCGATATGCCTGGAAAGACCTGACCTTCTGGCAGGGGACAAAATAACAACCATGTGTGAAGACAGAATGAATGGGTCTCGCATGCCAGATTGTGGCTGATGAAGGAGTCTTAGGCAGATGAAGGGGATGTGACATCCAAAACCATTACAGAAATGGAAACAATGTGAGAGGTGGCCATGATAGTGTTACCAGCCAAACTCAACATGGAGTGTTCTGATTACTGACAGGACACGAAGAAGATGATGAATAGCCTGACAGTTATAGAGGGGAACAAACTGTTCAACCTGACAAAGAGCATCCACTGTACCCATCAAGGAATGAGAAACAGGAGGCCAAAAACAATCAAAACAGGGGCACCCAAAAGCACACACTACACTCCAAAAAACTAGAGGATCCAAAGGTTACCCTGTCATGACAGGATAACCGATCCCCAACCAGATTCATGGCTTCCCAATGGTGTAAATGGGTCACAAGTAGACATAAAGACAGTGGACCCAAAAAACAGGAGATTCAAAGACCAAAAATAAAGGACACTCAGCCAGATGCCCCCATGCATGGTGATGTAGGAGCCTGCTGTAGAATTGTCAGAGGGAAACATCACATCCTTGTCCAAAAGAGCGAGAAGGACGGAAAGTACTGTCTGACAAAAGACAAGAGAGTGACACGGAGAGCAGAGTTGAAAAGAGTTCTCCACCCTGAGGTTTCGAGAGATGCTTCCCAAATGGAAAAAGTGACAATCCAGATGAGGAGAAGAAAGAGGAACCCCAGCAGCACTAGTGGTCCTATCCAACCAACAGTCAATACAGACTGTTAGTCAGGGTAAAGGATAAGAGAAGCATCCAAGGGATCCTGAACAAGACTGCATCTGGTGATCCAAAAACTCACAGAGGATGGCGCATGTTGGTACGACCAAGAGAAATGAGGGTTATCAGAGCCTGTGTCCTCAAATAAAAGAGAACTTCACATGTAATAAGGAAAGGGAGAAGATAAGAAGCTACCTAAAGGATATAGCAGACCTCTAAACCAAAGGAGAGAAGGTTGGTCACAACCAAGAATTGAAAACACACCAAAAAAACTAAAAATTTATTAGGTGTGATGAATGAAATCCCCACTGTGATGAGTCAACCAACATAAGCAGCTTCCCAAAGAAGAAACTGAGTAAGAGGAGCAGGTATGGCTAATGAGGAAGCTTTAATATCCAGCCTTCTCTGGAAAAGTGTACAATAAGCTAAGAGAAGGAAGAAGATGAGCAATGGTCAAAACCACTCAGTTGAACACGGAGGAAGATGAGGCAAGGCCTATAAAAACACCCTAAACATAAAATACACACACTCATGGAGAACAAGGAGAAGAAAAATGTCTGGATGCTGGGGAAACAGGATTATGAAGATGTATCCAACACATTGGCCTATATCATACCAAAAAAAAAAAAAAAAGGAAGTTGAAACTCCTAATGAGAATGACCACCTCACAGAAGGAAGCCTGGAGAAGTAAGACCTGAGCCATCTCTAACTGATGCTAGGAAGAAACAGGATTCCACTGAAGGTGAAATAAATAAATAAATACAACAGGATCCCAACCTAGAAGAACCAAACTACATAGCAGCCATGTCTGTAAAGCAAGGCTGAATAGGAAATAGAGTGCCATTGTAGCAAAAAGGAAACATCTATGACCAACAGGAAAACAAATAATGAAACTATAGAACCACCCAAACTCAAAAGTTGAAGGGAGGATAAAGCACAGATTATAATGGATAATGTAATAAATGAACAGGAAAGTTCCACAGTAGGGAAACGCAACTGAAGTATCGGGTTTCGAACCCCACATTGGAAGAAGGAAAAAAAATCCAAAAGTTGTGAGGAAAATTATGGGAAGGTGGAACAAGATAAGCAAAAATATGATAGGCCAACATACAAAACATACTGACCTCCATACGCAAGAATACCGCAAAACAACAAGCATGAACCCCATTATCCGGGTAAGAGGGAACAACCAAAGAAGACCCCAAAGATTAATCCCTAACAAGGGCATGTGTAAAATCCAAGGAAACAGGATACAAAGACAAAAAACAACATACCTGAGGAAACAGTTACTACAAAGGGCAAAGGAGACCCCCCAAAATGACAAGTGATGGAAAAGCTTATTCAGGAGGGTGAAAACAAACTGCCCTAAGTCATATCCACCCATTCACATACACTTAGGCTATGGTATGGCAGGCTACTCAACAGGTTAAACAGAATGTTGCCAAAAATGGTACAATTCCCAACAGAGCATAGCCCTCATGCCTGCAGCCAATAACTGTGTTATCAGCCTTTCAAACATGAATGGGACATCCACCATAGCAGTAACAGCAGTGGTAGTCATGACCACCCAAGATTGTGAGTGCATAACAAAAAATTAGAAAAGGGAGAGTAGTTAATTAAACTTAAATAGCGACTCTCCACTAAAAAAATAACAGTGACTAAAGTATAACATATCCAATAGTAAAAACGTGTGGATATAATAACTAAACAAACACTTCTGTATGGTAAGACTGCCAATCAAGAAGTTATTAACAAGTGCATTATTAGAGAGGGAGCTAGTTATGATAGGGGGTAGTGCCACACTCGTATTGGTGAAGAGTTGGTGCATAGTCATTGTAGACATGCAGAAAGAAGTGGGGGTAACAAGGCTAGCGGTGAGCAAAAAAATGTGTGCCAACAGATGACAGTACTAATAGAGAAAGCTTTTTGTGAGTGAAATAACTGATATATGAATATTTTGAAATTTATGTTAAAGTACTTGGAAAAAAGTTATGTTAAACCATAAACTGTATTTATTACTTATTTTTATTATCATCAGTTGGTAGTTTCATAATGTTAAAACATCAGAGAGGATAGGCAACTTCAGAGAAAAAAACGTCTTAGTACAACATTAAAACACTCTACTTCACACAAATTCTTAATCACAGGTATTTGAAATAAAAGACCTAAAATTTTCATTTGTATTAGTTGCACAAAAGTTGCATCATAACAAACCCACAATACACAAAAACAATGAGATTAGTAATCTAAGCACAAATTTAGTTTAAAAAACTCGAAATTACATATGATATTCTAAAAAGTTTAGTATTACACAATTAAATAATAAAATCGTAATTGTAATAATATTATTAAAATTATATACTGTGCAGCATAACTATGAATACAAAATATAAATACAGATCAATAGTCTTAATTGATTTTACTTACTTTTTCCCCCATACAGGCTCAAAATACTTCAACTGGAGAAAAACAAAAAAGACAAAAATCAGTTTTGTGTTTCTTCACTAATATTAAAGACATGTCATAAGAAGACAGAAACTTGCATAAAGATTACACATAAGCTTAGTATTAAAATCAAACCTTGATGAGCTAAAAGGTCATCAATCTAATGAAACAGTGGAAGAAAGTAAGACCAACAGAGCCATATAGTTATTCATTTCTACCCTGGTGTCAGATGTGATAATTTAAAGCTGCACAATTATTCATCATAATGGAAATGAATTAAAAAACAGTTTACAAAAAATTTCTTATTCATGCAAAATATGAAAATAATGTACAAGAATGATTTTTAAAGTTAAATGTTATCAATGACTGAACAACAATTCCATACAAAATATATCAGTTCACACCTCAGTAACAAACTCAAACGTTGATTTTCTTGGTTTCAAGGTGTATCAGCTATCATCAACCCATCTGGTTTAAATCAGATGTTTGTGATGTCAAAATACTAAATCTATATTTTCTTACAAATTAGGAACTTAAGTTACCGATATTGACAAGCTAGAATATGCAATAAGAACCTCGTACCATTTCTATTTGCTGAGATATCACTCATGAAATGAATCAAACACAGTGTCCCCGCTCACCTCTTTTCAGTTTTGGAAAGGGTCCCTTATATACACTTACTTCAATATATGTGTTGTGAATTACGAATCGAATGTTCCCCTTGTGACTTTCTCAGCCATTTTCATGTGTTAGAACGCCATCTCGTTCTTTTAAACCAAGATTTCAAGGAGGTAGGTTGTGTCTTTAGTCTGCTCAAAATTTCTTATTTCTTTAGACCCAAATACAGCTTAGTTACTAAGCTTGATAAGTTATAGTGGAATTCTATGGTACTGATGTAGTAATTTATGATTTTTTTGGTTATTGAACTGTACATATATATATAAAAACCTAAAAAATATTATTTCGTTTCATATACTCCAAGTGTGAAATTTTAAAAGGCTTAGCAACCCAAGTCAAGCAGCAACTGAGTACAAAGGTCATAACTAGAAGAGACAATTGTTTGCTTTTCTTCTTTATTTCCTGTTTTATATTATAAGATAGATAAGTTTAAGAGCTTATTTCTAAATACACTGTAGCCCTGTTATAACGCGATCGTTGGGGTCCATAAAATGTCATCGCGAAAAAAGCGGGGTCAGGGAGTTCAAGAAAATCACTGTTCAAACTGACCCAACATCCTAAAACACCTCTATTTTTGCCCTCTTGACTAGTTTTTTACACTTTCCATTTCTGGCAAGTAAATTACCCCTGAATTACAGAATTTTGCGAATGAATCGTTGTTGTTACAGTAGAAATTAAAACAAATTATTTTTAGTAGGGTTTTTATAAATAAAACAACAAATAAAAACATTCAAGAATATTGGCAATCATCATTTGCAGTTTATTTCTTAAAAACTGATCGAGTGTTCTTTGCTTGAACGTAGCATGTCTCTGGCTGCGAGCAAAATCTAGAATACTTCTGAGTTGGAGGATTTTTTATGTGGTCCACCTCCTGAGTCTCCAGCCAACAGAGGCTAGCCTCGAGGTGTTCAATGGCTTCAAACATTTTTGGTGGTGGCGATGGAGGCTCTTCATTATTCTCATCTTGTGGCTCGAGAGCTGGTACACTTGCCTCCATCGATTCTATAGTTATGTTACGGATGATCTCGGCATACGTCAAGTGCTTATATGTTGGGTATTCGGCTTCAACAGAGTGCCACTGGTGAAGCTCTTCTTTGCTCCATTCAGACAGCTTCTTTACCTCACGCACATCTTTCTCTGTGAAGCCGTACAAATCTGTCTCATCATAATCATCTTCCGTGGTGGGTTGCCATGATGAAAAGGCTAGCCCCGGACCTTTCTCCCAGCATTTTTCTACACACGACGAGCTGACTGCTGCCCAGGCCTTCCCACCTAAGTGGCAAACTTCCTTCATGTTCAGGTTTTTCAGATAGGCTTCAAGCATTGTTGAAGGATTTAGTGAAAAAAAAAAACGTTTGAAATGCATTTAGAGGTTTTAGGGATTACACAAAGGAAATTTGAGATTTTTTAGATGTCAAAAAGTATTTTTAATTTTTGACATGAAAATCACTTTGCACTCAGACTAGTTAAATAAAAAGAATCGATATTTTAATGGACAAATTTGAGTAAAAATACTTCATTAAAAAATCTGATTTTTTGTGTGCAAAAGGCTTCTAATGTT